GAAATACGTGACTACTTAGTAACTTCTACCAGAAAATAAAACTAGAACAAAGATTTTAAATATGTCTTTATCCAGTGGCTCCTTATAGAGGTAATAAGGTATGCTAATTGCCCTTCAGGAATTAGATAAACATTGTCATTTTTCTCATTTATGCATTGTCGAACCGCTAATTACTATGTGGAATGTGAGTAATGTCGTTTCATATACCAGTTAGACGTCATGGCAGCAAATAATATTGAGTCAAGATAAAAGGTGGAATTCAAAGCCTGACGAAATCCCCTCTGCATTCAGGTTTTCAGGGGGTTATACAAGGTATTCCCAGAATATTATTTGACGTTTTGTAGACCCTTAAATTTACTAAAAGGCAACGTACCTATTAGCGAGTTTAATATATGAATGTATTTATGGAATTGTAAAAAAGACCGATTTCTTCATAGAAGCTTTTAAATAGAGGTCTGACTTACTTGTTAAACCGTCGACTAGGCTGCCAACACTGTCGAGACACTCGTCCTGGGAGACATTCGCAGTTGAGAGACTGCTTCTTTGTTGAGAGTGCTTTCGTTTGCCCGTTATGGCGCTTGCATTTTGCTGTTGACCCTCGGAAATTATGCTGGTTCTGCGCAATTTCGAGATAAGTCGCCGAACCGGGTGATCCGCAGGCAGGCTGCTGAGGGGGGGCTCGTTTTTGTGTTGCTCGGTCAATTCCAGCTCGCGTTGGACATCAGCTAACTTTCGAAAGATAACCTTCGGTGGAAAAGGTGGAGATGAGTAAAGAAAAAGTGTATAGCAGAATTAAGAAAAACGCGATTTTACAACCAGCAGGTGAGTTAGTATGTTACCTACATAATATAGCTACGGAGATAAATTTATGTGTCCACTTAACGCTTAGTTTGCAATATGACACTAATTTGAAAAGCATACCTTAAGATTACAACAACAAAATGAAACGTCAACATGATTCATTTGATAAGATCATGCCCAAACTGTATTTTGTATATGTGCATAATGATTGTTATGGGGAACGTCATTTGGGATAAAAGTACATGAAGAAGATATTTGTTGACTATCTCACCAAATGAGGACGGATGAATCTCGTTGTACTGCAGCCGTTCAGCTTTTATAATATATTCATGTTGACGCAGTCTACGAGACTTCCTCCCTCGTTTCGGGTGAAAACGTGCTGAGCTTTCGTTCATCATATGATGGGCAACATCAGAGCTGGGTTTTGTTCTTGTAAGAGTCTCATGTTAACAATAAAGCAAGAACATTATCCGGCTCTATCTTACTTCTTATTTAGACTCGATCGAGCAAAAAGAATAATAATTAAAAACTTAGATATATCGATATAGATTGGTTTGATTAATGTTCTGCCATACTGGTCCTTTTATCTTTGCTTGAATGTATGAGTATGTGTATTTGTGCGTGTTAGCGTCTATATGCGATATGGTTCATAAATCATAGTTGTCAAAGGTTAAATCTCAGGTCCTGATCCTCAAGACCAAAAGACAGCCTTGACTGAGATTGCATGGTTGAGACTATGAACTATGAGCTTATAAGTATGAAAATTAAGTTATGAAACCACTTGTCCTAACCTTTCAGTCAAGAGTCTTGGACATTTAACCCTCCGGAGGGAAGGCAAGACAGGGGTTGCGTAATCTTACATGTCTGGTTCGGTTGATGAGCTAAATCTATCATTTTGGACGATTGTGAGTGCAATTAGAACCATTACTGAGCAGACAAACTGAGTCGCCTTCTTTTTGACGGCGGCTCAACACCCTCTCTCTCTTTCAATCTATCAATCCTTTGCAAGCATTTTTGTGTTCTCCCAATCTTTCTTGAATAGATCTGCATGTTTCACCGGCATGACATCGACGACATAAGCAAACAATCGTGTAGCAGCCGGATCTCGATAATTGGTCGATGTTCTGTTGGGGAGACATGCCGACCCATTTGACAAAGATTGGTAGAACATGAAAATGCTTGCCAAGTTTGCTGGGTCCAACGGTCAAAAGTGGCCAAACACGTGGTAGAAACTGGACATGAAATAGAATGGTCTCAAACTAGTAGGTTTGCTGATTACGGTAGGTCTGTGTTTAAAAG